AAAGCAAGAAGATAAAGAGGAGAGGTTCGAGAAAACGACAAACGATTCGATGACATTTTCCCTTCTCGCCTTGTCCTACACAGTTGGGCATTCCCCAGCTTACCTAGCACACACACACAAACACCCGATACAGCAGCAGCAGCAGCTACCACTGCTGGAATTGTTTTATTCATCAGAAAGTAAAGCTTCTTCTTCGGCTTATTCCAATTCATCCTTCGCGTCCACCTGCGAAGCAGAAGAAGGTGAAATTAGCCTAAAAGTGGTGGTGGTGGTGGTGGTAGTAGTGGGGCTAGTGTCTTAGCACCAGGAGAGAGAGCAAACGAAAAGTGAACGAAGCGAGACAGACTAAATAATAAAATAAATAATCATAATGACATTAGTGTGAGTGTGTGTGTGTGTGTGAGTGCGTCGATGTGTGTGTTAGGTACGCAAAAGTGTAATGCAACAGCAGAAGCAGCAGGTCTTATGAGTCCAATTAGGAGAGGTGGAAAGTGAGAAAGGAGAAATGGATAGATGGACGGATGGAAAGAGCAAAGGCCCCTGCCTCACACTCAGCAAACTTTTCATCACTGGTCACGGCGACTGCAGACTGGCCACTTCAGGTATGTGCACACACACTTTTCGTACCTGACCACACTACTTCATGAGATGGGATGCTGGTGCTGGTGGTAATCATCTCACTGCCATGTTGATTATTATTCTGCCTCCTCCTCCTCCTCCTCATCTTCTTTCGCTCCTGGTCACCCGGACAGGCAGCCCCTCCACCACCTTCACCTAGGCACTGGTATCGGCAATGGTGGCCAGCCACTGCCTCGTCTTCACGCAGACGTCCTTCTGGCAGAGGGGACACTGCACCGGCAGCTGCCGACTGAAGGTCCGCTTCGAGTCAATGTGCTCGACGATCGTCTCCACCAGGCCGCGAATGAACTCAGGGTGGTCGTTTGGCGTTGGACACCGGCGAATCTTCTCCACGCTCGGAAGCTGTGTGTTGTGCGTAAATTAGGTGAGGGAGTGGAAAAGAGAAAGAGAAAGAGAAAAAAGAAAAAGAGATCAGAAATGAGGGTGTAATGTAAACGTGTAGTAAAGTTAGGTGGAGGAAGTGTGTGTCAGGGGCTGTGTGAAACAACAAGCAAACAACTCAGGCAAACGTCTTTAATTCAGTAGTTCAGTAGTCAACGGAACTAAAGTAAAGACGAGCATGACATTTGCTCAGTTCATTGAGAGAGAAAGAAAGAGGGAGCATCTGTTTGCCCAAATTGCACCGACAAAGACGGCAATAGCAGCAGCAGTGGAAAACAATGAAATTTCCAGTGAAAATCGGAAACACCACCATCAGAGCTATCTTTTGTGCCACTATTTACCTACAAAACTTGCTGTAAAAAAGTAGTAGTAGAAAGTCTAAAATTGAATAGTGCTGCTGCGAGAGGGGATAAACTGATGAACCGAAATGGCGGGTAAAGAGAAAGAAAAGAAGGCAAACAAAGTCTGCACTTCGGTGCAACTGGAACAACTAGAAACTGGTAGAAGAAACTAGCAAAGAAGCGATGAAGCTAAAAGTATTTAGAAGTAGACAAAGCTAACAATGCTCGCAAACAACAACTGAAAAAAACATGTTCGATGGTGGTGGCCAAAGGAGGGAAAATCAATCTCCTCGCCCCTGAGCACACTGCAAGTGCACAACCGATTAAAAGAGAGGGACAAGAAGCACAATCGTCAGTCAATACGATCGACACAAGAAGACGACGACGACAACGCTCAAATTGATTGAGTCAACAAATTAGGCGAAAACAAGTGAAACACATCATCGAACAAAACGCAAGCAAAGGCGACGACACAAAAGTCAACCGACGTAAGCGAGGTTGTTGAGAGAGTGTACTGTGCTTGGCCCAATTCAAAGTACAAGTGCAGCATTAACCACAGCAAATGTCTGAGGCAGCAGCTGCTGATCAGACAAAGATCAACGTTGACGGTGGTGATGGTGGTGGCGGTGGCAAGAAGAAGTAGATGAAAAAGCGCTAAATTAATTACTGCGCCCTTCTCTGTGAATGTGAGGGTGAGCGAATGAATGAAAGAACTGTGTGTGTGCTAATGAAGTAAGAGGGTCAGCACACACACTCACACATACAGACACTACAGTAGCTGTCCAGGACAGTGAGAGAGGACTCAATAATTCACCAGCACCAGCGCTGGCCCAATCAATAATTCACCACTTCGTGGACTTGATTTACCAAATTGCCCCCGCCAACTACTAGTACTCAACCCCAGCCCCCAGCAAAAGTGCCCATCGACTCGTGGCGAGAGCTACTGGCTAAAGCCTGCGCCATCGCTCCATTGTGCTCCATTGGACAGTTGACAAAGTCACAAATGTAGCATAAATGGCATGGGAACTGGCTGCTACATAGTTGACTCTCATTCCTATCCTTATCCCTTTATGCCCTTCTATTTCCTTCTTCTAAATGGTGTCAAGCAGTGGGGTCAGACTTCGTCACTTACCTCGGCAGCGAGCTCCTCAGCGTACTCAATGTCCAGCTCGTGAAGCGTCTCAATGTGCTCGTTCACAAAGGAGATGGGAATGAGGAGCATATTCTTGAAGCCCTTGGTGGCAAAACCTAAGCAGAAGGAAAAGGAGGAAGAGGAAAAGTAAAAAGAAAAAAAAGCAGACAAATGTTGTCAGAAAGGGAAGAACAGGAGAGACGGGAAAAATCACAGGCGCAAACATCGAATGTTATCGGCTGGTGCAGTTCAGTCTGTGTGTTGCCTGTGTTTGCATTGCCGTATCAGTGCGGTCATTGGCCATCAATAATTCAACTCTGATGATGACGACGACGATGATGAAGATGATGTGCGTGCTGTGGCATGCAATGCCACCATCTTACCCTAACTAACCTTTAATAACTTGGTCGGTTTTCGGCCCCTGCCAGGGCATCGGGCCCACCTTGGACTGCCACACCAGGCGGTACGGGTAGCGGAATGAGAGCGCCTGCATCACTTGCATCACCGTGGCACTGACCTCCATCGGGTAAGTGTCGCCAGCGTTCACCGACTTGCGAGGAGAGGTGGTGAAGGAAGGGAAGAAAAAGGCGCAAATTAAGATGTAGTCGAGTGTATGATATGAGATAACCCAACAGCATAAAGAAGATGAATGAGCGGCGACAAAGTTGTAAACCTTACTACTAAAGCGCACAGAACCACAGAGATTGCAATTAGACAGACAGAATCACAAAGGCCAACAACTGTCAAGAGACAGGAGNTGAATGAGCGGCGACAAAGTTGTAAACCTTACTACTAAAGCGCACAGAACCACAGAGATTGCAATTAGACAGACAGAATCACAAGGGCCAACAACTGTCAAGAGACAGGAGGTGATGCTGTTTTTGCTGCTGCTACTGCAAAAGACAAACGTCGTTGGCCTTTTTCTAACCTTCGGTAAACNAGCATAAAGAAGATGAATGAGCGGCGACAAAGTTGTAAACCTTACTACTAAAGCGCACAGAACCACAGAGATTGCAATTAGACAGACAGAATCACAAGGGCCAACAACTGTCAAGAGACAGGAGGTGATGCTGTTTTTGCTGCTGCTGCTGCAAAAGACAAACGTCGTTGGCCGTTTTCTAACCTTCGGTAAACAGAAAGCTGTAACAGCACACAGCACTGTCCACTAGAGCGAGTCAAAGTCTCGAGAAAGAAGGAAAGATAGAAAACGGGTGCTGATGATTAGGGCTGGTGGCATTTATTGCCAGCACAAACACAGATGTGCTCGCGGAGCTCAGCCAGAGCGGGAGCAGGCAAATGGCAGCTGCACCAAATTTAATAGTTAAACACACACACACAGGGAATAGCACCCAAAACACGCAAGGCGTCGTTTTTGAAAGAAAAAACAATCACTTGTCTGACTTGATTTAGGGTTTGGCGCAGGAAAGATTCAATCGTGGATAGATAGAGACGTACGGAAAAGACTAAAACTGTGTGCCCTTTTCAGATATCTCCTTCCTCCACACTCCTGACTAATCGAAGAAGCAGTTTGGTCGATTTGCTGCCCTTTTGATAATATTATATAACAATAAATTTGAAGCTGCTTCGCTAAGTGTGCGCAAGTAAAAGAAGAAGGAGAACGGAACAAAAGATGACCAATAAACGCGCTGGTACCAACTGGATTACCAGACAACAACAATTGCGGGCAGAGGTTCTACTCAGTGGAGCAGTTAGCAGAAAACAAAAGTAGGAGGAAGTGCTTTATTAAACGGAAGGAAAAATGTGTAAACTGTACAACCAACCAACCTACAATTATTTACAGCAGTACTACTTGCTACTTACGATTACCCACTTGCGTAATCGCAAGGTGTAAGGAAAAGAAGAAAGAGGGGGCACTTACTGTTGCTACAAACAACTTCGAGTGGTGATATTCTGAGCGTAAAATAAATCGGAAAATTGGCGCGTTTGCGTCAATAAGTGCCTACTAAATGAATAATAAATTAAAGAGTGCCACTGCCATTCACTACAATCTCAGTTCGGTTCAGTTCAGTTCAGAGCGAGTGGCAGAGCCAGAGTGCGGTTAACAGGCAGCACAACAGTTAGTCGCATTGAAGCTTCTGTCTCACTGACGTCTCAATTTTCCGTGTAGAAGAGCTAGCTAGCTAGTGATTCGAACTGAAGCGGCAGTGATGAGACTGTGTGTGAATACAAATGGAGCGATCAACGACGACTTTCTCTCTCACTGGTTTTGGCGGTAAAAAAAGTGATCTCGGGCGCCCGACCGAGAAAGGAGGAAGCAGTCTGCCAGTGTGTGACTGTGTCTGCGTCTACTAAATAATTAAGCGATTCATTCAGGATTATTAGGTGGTAAAAAGCTAGTTACCTAGCTAACAAAGACCGACAAATGCTGCTGCTTCTCTCTACATAAGGCTTCCTTCCCTTCCTGACTACCTCACTGACCGACCGACCAAGCGTATGTGAGGGTCGGGTAGTATTTCTCCGTCTCAGGCATATGATCGATATAGCGCGATTAAACAACAAAAAAAGAGGGCAAAATGCAGCAGCCAGAAAGCTCAGTTCAGTTCAGCTCTTCCACTTACCCGCAGCGGAATGGAGTGCGCAGTGAAGAGGAGCAGCACATCGCTCTGGCGGTCGTGGGGAAACTTGCCAATTTCAGCTTCAATTAGCTGCTTGAAGGCAGCCACCAGACCGGTATTCATCGACCACCGGTCTATGAAGCTCAGCTTAAAGTTGGGCGTGGGCGCGTGATGTCGGCCCATGAAGAACTTGGCCATGGCGTTGATGCTGCTGCCCGTCGTATTGCAGCAGTACTGCGCGTACTGGGAGAAGGCAATCACATTGCTCACTTGGTCTCTGTCAAAGAGAGAAAGAGAGGGGAGAAAGTTAGTGAAAACAAACTACTGCAACTTTCAAAGTAAATTCGTCTGGTCAGTCGNATTGCTCACTTGGTCTCTGTAAAAGAGAGAAAGAGAGGGGAGAAAGTTAGTGAAAAAAAATTTCTGCAACTTTCAAAGTAAATTCGTCTGGTCAGTCTTCAGTGCACCGCCAACGTGTGCACTGACGACGACGGAAAGAAGAACAAGAGAAGTGTGGTAAATACCTCTCAATCTGCTCAAGGGCATCCTCCAGCAGCGGGTGCACATATCGAAAGCCAGTGTAGTGCTTGTGCGGCGCCGTCTGCGGACTGATTCGGTCCAGCTGCTCCACGATCAGGTCGCCCTGCCTGTCTGTCCAGTAGTGAATCGGCGAGCCGCCGCCGATCTGCGCGTACTTCTCCGTCACCTTCGGAGCACGTCGCCGGGCGATCCACGGACCGAGGATGCT